TTGGCCACCGTTTTGATTGAAGACTATAATAGTATTATAACATCATTATAGGCCTTCCGACTCAACGTTGGGCTTTTGGCACGGATTACTATTGTATAATACTATTGGACTCCGTCTTCCTCATTACGTCTTTGGTGCAGTCACTTGCAGAGGAACACCTGTCAACCAAGTGAACTCAGTTTGTGGTCGTTGTCCTCACGAGGCAGTTAACAAGTAACATTCATTCTATAGTAACTGTTAGCGTCTGTTTTGTTTAATATACCTTTTGTATTGCTAACGGTATTTTATTACCTTTGTTTTTACTAACGGACAGACATCTAGGTTTCTTAATCAATAATTTGTTTTGGTATATCATTGTTAACCTAGTGTATCAATATAATTTGTGTAAGCTCCTTTTGTTTGGGGACCACCACACAGCGGAGCATGGGCCGTCAACCAGCATTCTCCAACCCACTCTGTTCTGGGCCTTCCTTTCTAGTTCCACTCAACTCTTGTTCATTATTTTCATCTCTGTCTCCATTACTCAACGTGATATGTTCTTTGGTTTTCCTTTGGCCCTGAGGATCCCAAGTGAGAGCTTGCTTGTGACGCAAATGGATGCTTTCTTCAATGTCTCCTATCCACTTCTAACGCTTCTTCATGATTTCTTACTTCGCTGGAATTTGGTTTGTTCTGTCGCACAGTAGGTTGTTGTTGATAGTATCTGACCAACGGATTCGAAGTGTTTTGCGTAAGCAACTGGTCTTTACATGAGCGATCCTTACGAAACCCTGCCTGTTGGTCACGAAGTTGTGCGTCTACGCAGTCCTTCATCCTGTTTAACAATACCCTGTTGAAGACTTTTCCCGGTATTGAGAGAAGAGTGATGCCTCTGTAGTTATCACACTTGCTGAGATCGCCTTTCTTCGGTATTTTGATCAGAAGTCCTTCTTTCCAGTCTGTTGGTACTTGTTCCTCATCCCAAATCTTATTGAAGAGAATGTGGAGTATCCTTGCAGTTGCCACTACGTCTGCTTTCAGTGCCTCTGCTGGGATGTTGTCCGGTCCTGCTGCTTTGCCACTCTTGATTTGTCTGATGGCCATGCTGATTTCTTCAATTGTTGGTGGACCAACATTGATTGGGAGGTCCGTGGGTGCTGCTTCGATGTTGGGTGGGTTCAGTGGAGCTGGTCGATTCAAGAGTTCTTTGAAGTGTTCTACCCACCTGTTTTGTTGCTCTTCAATGTTGGTGATTACCTTGCCTTCCTTGCTTTTCACTGGTCGTTCTGGTTTGCGGCGATTTCCAGAGAGTTTCTTTGTCGTGTCATACAATTGTCTCATGTTTCCTTCTCTTGCAGCCTTTTCCGTCGTCGTTGCTAAATCTTCCACATATTTACGTTTGTTGGTTCTGATGCTCCTCTTCACTTGTTTGTTTATTTCCGTGTATTCAGCTTGTGCCTTGGCTTTTTCTGCTCTTGTTCGGCTGGTATTGATTGCTGCCTTCTTGTTCCTCCTTTCTTGAATCTTATCCAGTGTATCAACAGTGATCCATTCCTTGTGATGGTGCTTCTTGTGACCCAGGACCTCATGACATGTTGAAGTGATTGCCTCTTTGATCCCCTTCCAGTTGCTCTTCATAGTAGTTCCTTCTCCATTGAGTAGATCATGAAAGGCCTGGAACTTGTTGCTGAGGACTGTCTTGAATTCGCTGAGTTTGTCAGTATCCCGAAGAAAAGCCGTATTGACTTTTTGTGATGTTGTCCGCCTCAATGTCCAGTGTTTTTTAGGTTTCAATTTCATCTTGGCGACCATCACATGATGATTTGATGCTATATCAGCTCCTCTCTTGATTCTCACATCCTCCATTGTCCTCCTGAGCTTTTTGTTGATGGACATGTGGTCGATTTGTTTCTGTGTATTGTGATCCGGTTAAATCCATTTGGCTTCAAGTATGCGTTCATTTGAGAATATAGTGCCGCCTATGACCAGTTTGTTGACGGCAAAAATGTTTGCCGAACGCTAACAAGAAAAGCAAGATCGTTCTGTTAAAAAAATTCATTTTAAATAAAGTCGAGTAGGTATTTATAGTCAGACTTTTCATGATGATGACAAGTCTGCCCGAAATACTTTAGGGGCTTGACAATGCTATTTTTCGTGCCATCATCAAGATCTAAAGATCTTGTAGACCATCAATGTAGATTATCTGTGTCGAGTGATTGAGGGCCTACTCCAGTTAGACGGTAATGGTAAAATCAAACGGCTAACATCGAAGTAACACCCCACGGTATGCATTATACGTTTATTACCCTTCTGTTGTATCCATGTACCATGGCTAATTTGATGACCGTATGAAACAAATGATGATATTACACAAACTCTTTGGCGACCACCACCTCATGGGACAGTCTATGGTGTGCAATTAACTGATGAGGTTAACATCAATGTTGAAGACTTACAGAATTATTTACTCTGGGTGTTTATTTACCGCTACAATCCAAAAAATTTTCCACACATAAGTGAAAAGCTAGAACGCCCATATATATATATATATATATATATATATAAACATTGATGTGTTTGGAATTATGCGGTGTAACTAGATTAGATATTAAAACTATTGTGCAGCAAATGATGATACCTGCCAAGCGCTTTCGGTTAGAGCATGTCTAATAAACCAATGAGGTCAGCATCAATGTATAAAACCTACAGAACCATTTATTTTGGTGTCTACATACCTCTACAGCTCATTCTCCCTTAGTAGTTCAGTGATCATAGAAAGACATTAACAGCACAAAGTATAAAATCAATGACCATGTTATTGACAAACAAACCGCTGATCGCTCTGTACGGCAGCGTCCGGGCGTCTTTTCTGGTACTAAGGATCCATAATCTGCATCACAATAAACAATTTACAATGGAAGGTTTGATTAATCTTATCCATCTTAAAATATTTATCATTTCTAAGCACTATTGTACGAAAAGTCGACGATTTAGGTGTACGTTGAATTACACTGGCACTTGTGTAAGCGAGTAAATAGCACGGAAAAGGTACCGGAGACTGGCCCATGCGGTCTTACTCTCGGTTGCATCCACCTTAGCTAATATATTTCGGTAATAACGTCCTCTGTGTTATACGGTCTTCATAGTACTTTGATACGTCGAAGGGGTAATCCGCATTAGGTGCTGACAGGGAGGCGTGACTTTGAAGTAATCTGTTTCGTCACACCGTTCCTGTCTAACTCGAGTAGGCCTCCAATCATTCGACATAGATCATCTACGCTGACGGTTTAAACCATGTTCGAAAATAAGGCCTTGTTGCTGAGAATGAGATTTTCCGTTCAGAATGGAGATCAAGAAGTCATTAACACTCATGTGTACAAAGCTTGAGACCCCTAAATATGTTTGACAACGCTTCAACCAGTAACGTCTTCTAATATGAATCGTACCCACCAAGTGGAATCGAAAGACAGTAGCGAGGAGGTTCGAAGATATATTTGATAGGCTATCAATATATCGAGGATCGTCTGACCTAATCTGGCTAGCGATTGCAGCGGTTGTTGAGTAGGGTGTTCCCACTCGTGACCTGGTGTGAATGCACGCCCGAGTGCCTTCAGCTAGTTGAGTCAATTAAAACTAATGTGATTAGCATCCAATGTCGAAAACCTACAGAGCTATTTATTAAGGGGATTTATTTCCCGCTACAAATGCATCAGCAGTTTGTGCTGAATTTTCCAAACCGAAATGGACATACAAAACTTCGTATATTCCGAAGGTAATGAAGAAAGCCGTTTTCGTAATGCCTCTCGTAGTTACAGAAATATAGTTATGCTCATTAACTAGGCCTATTTTTGGGAAAAACTGTCATGCTTTCCAAGTTTTAGTCAGGTGGCCTTTTCGTATTTAGTCCCCAATGATCACCGGTAGGATATTATTTATCGTTCTGTCTTTTTTAGGGACTCACACGGGCTATTTGAACGCCAGATAACTCCTAAATCTACCATGTTTTGACCTGAGGTTGAAAGTCGGTCATTCCGTGCTCTTGTATTTCAGCTTCTAAGGAGCAGAGTCAAGCTCGGGTGTTTTTGGGCTGGGATGGTATGAGTAAGAAGGTGGAGGTGTAAGAGTCTTAATGTTCAAGCATTTGGGTACTGTTGAAAATGACATAAATCGAACATGTATGCCCAGTGAAATGTCACTGCCTGTCGTGTCACTGAATACTGTAAAGCCTGCAAATATTCATCGAAATCATGGACAACGAGCGTGCATTAATTAGATATACTCCATCGACCGGCCTATGCAATGGTGTCAGCTTTCTGTACCTCAAATCTACACTTACCAATATATTTTTGTAATTTCATCGTTTATGTGAGACGGTCATAAAATTAACCACAACGTGGTGAACGGGAACTGAAGACAGGAAAACTAGTTTATCGTTTGATGCAAAATTACAGAGTTCTTTGGCAAAATGTGACAACCATACATTACATATTTCAGCTGCAAATCCTTCATCAATTGTCTTATCAGTTTTCGTGATATAAGCAGTATGAAAAATAATAGGACCGGGATGCGTCGTAAAGGTAATCCACGTAAAGTACTAACCGTGGGGTTTGACTTCCATGTCAGCTTATTTGTTGCACTATTCCCATTTAACTAGAGTAGGCCCTCAGTCACTCGACACAGATAATCTACGTTGGCGATCTACATATCTATGTATGAGTTAAAAATCAGAGAACACAAAATATCACGATATGTAAAAAAAACATCTGTGTAACGTGACATGAAGAAAGTGGCTCACAGTTTGTCCCTTGTTACACCAGATTACTTCGAGGTTCACCACAAAAATTTAAATTAAGTGGTTCGTCACATCATATATTCATTGTTTTATTAGTCCTCAGAGAAAATTGTACTATGTCTGCAGGCAAAAATTGTCAGTTGCCTCAAGGAATTATAGATTCTTTAAACTGAAAATTATTTCATTCTTTTACCGATATTTAAATTGCGCCCGAAAAAATGTGTAATTCACGGACAGCGGAATTTATAAATATATAGGTTACTTGGAATTAAGTGCAGCTGTTTCAACGTAGTAAGTGTGGTTATAAAGTGACCAAGAGACATATTCACTGACTACGCAATTTTTTAAGAATATTCATAGTTTCTTTCGAAGGTCTTGCCTTCACAAGGATCACTGCTACCTTTTCGGGATCGAACCCAAGCAACCAATAAAGGCGAATGAAGGGGAAAATGCGTTGGAAAATAATGGGTAAACGCGCCCGAATGTCTGCTTGTCCGTCTGAGAAGAAGAAATAATGCGAATTTTCCCTTTTTATCTTTTTGTGTAGCACCCCAAACTCCGAAGTTTGGGGAAATTTTGGGTTTTTTCCTGAGATCTCCCCTAACCCAAGCTCCCAATTTTTGGGAAAACTTAACGCATTTTGGGGAAGCCGCTATAGTACACTTTGGGGAAACTGCACTAAAACCCCAAAATTTTCCCGGACCTGGGTAAATTCCCCAAACATTGGCGAAGGTCATTTGACTTCGGGATTTTCCACAAAATTGGGAGCTTGGGTAAATTTAGGAAAGTAGACGAAATATGTTTGGGGACTACCGGCCAATAAGTTAGAGAGTTTAAACACTGGTTGTGTAGTATGGATTGTCTGTAATAAATGTTGGTAAAACAAAACAACGGCGAATTAAATATAAAAAGCTGGAAAAGAAGTAATAAGTCTACATTTGTATTCCTGGTACATCATTATCCTTAAAAAGGAGGTTCTGTGTTGCGAAATGTGTTGGTTTGTGTGAGAGCATCTTGATATGCCTCATCAAGACGCCTAAATTTGTTCCTTATGTTTTGAAACATTGTCCTGACAATTTTCTTTTGAATTAAATAGCGCAGCGTTTTATACACAATGCTTAACTGGATGAAGAAGCGAATTATGTGAACTTTAATGCATGAACTTGACAACCTGGGACAGCAGTGATGCATTCGCGTGGAATTAACACTTATATGGTCTCATTAGCTTACTGTGGAACACCGAGATATTACAGCATTGAACGATTAAGCCTGCCGGTGGAAAACTTATCTGGCAAATGGAAAGTACTAAATCTAAGATCATCAGGTGTCTCCATATTACATATATAATGCGTATGATGCAGACTTGAATTGATTGAACAACGCTAAGTTGTCTGAATAAATAGTTAAGTTTAAAAAAATAAATAAAATTGTTGCCGTTAGGTCCATTGGGTAACTTCAGATGACTAACGAATACTTACAGTTGACAACTGGTTGTCGAACTTTTCCGAAGACTAGTTTCTTCATGTAATGAGAAACCTGGCATTATAGAAACGCGGGATTTGTTATATACAGTTCAGTCCATCCAAGTGAATCCTACATAGATCCCCATTTCTACTTCATCAACTATCAGTGCTAACTTCAAATTTCAGAAGGGTGTGAAAATTAAAAACTGACTTGGATATTACATCCATTTCACTGAGTTATTGCCGATCGAATGCTTAGCAAGCTTTAATTTCACTATTTCATTACATTCTTTTCCCGAGTTTAAAATTATTTGCCGTTGTTCCGTTACTTTTCAAAAAGTTTAGTTAATAGGCATAATTTACAAGTCTGTTTTCTTATTAACATATGTTGTAAGGAAATTATGTAAGGTCTAGGTATTTGTCCTGCGCTCGATACTGTATCTAAAACAGTAGTTCAATGCACTTATTTTTTACTTAATGGTAATGCAAATGGTCACAAGTTCCCGAAGTACTAATTAGAGTGTACTATCAGCTTCATAATTAATTTTCGCATTGTTTGTTTGGATCGTCCTACTGGTGTTTAGGACTGCAATTAATTAGTTTCATTGATATATATGCATCCATTGCGGATTGCATCGATATAACCTCAATCATAAGAATTATAAACAAAGATCTATGGTGGCTGGCAGTGGAATCCCAGGACGCGCGCTTCTTTTTATTTGAGACTAGTCAGTTGGGTGGAGACCATTTGCACATGTGCCAATGAAGGACTGATCGACTGCAGTCGTAAACATCAATGGGAAGATTCAAACAAACAATACAAAATTGGTTTATATTAGGCCTAGTTCAGAAACTCAAGTTAAAAACATAAGTTTAAGCCTCACATCTTTTTATTTGGTTTAAGTCTAAAAGTTAATTTCATTCTTTAGTTAAAATTTTACAAACAAAAACACCCATTGCATCATGAAAACAAGCATATGGCTTAAGAAGACCATGGAAACAGAAAAATAAATGTTTGGATCAATTGTTTAACGATTTAGTAGTATGCAAAATGAGTATGATAATTACATCTTTAATAACTGTAGAATTCTGTATAAAATTTTAGAAAACTTAAAAAATCTATCCACTAAACTATATTCTAATTTTCATGCAGTTCTATTAGTTAAAAGTTTAGGAAATCGTTCAAGTTTAGCTTTTTATGTAACTAATAAGTAAAATCTAAATCTTTATGTGTCTAAGGTCAACAAAATAATTGCGGTTGGTTGTTAGATTCACTATAAAAACCCTTTTGAATTTAATCACCAAACCCTAATGTGCAACAAACAACTGAGAATTAAACCTGTGTTTCTGCTGTCATGTGGGTCTTTCAATCCAATTACTGTAATGCACATGCGAATGATGGGTAAGTCATCTTGTATTGATGCAAAAGTATTCTATAATAGTTTATTACGTATGTAAGTAAAGGCCTTATTGATAAGGACTTTGGAGCGATTGAGTTAATGAAAACAATGAGGCATTAACCTTTTACTGCACATCACCTAAATGACTATTCAGTGTTAATAATGTCTGTTTCGTTTTAATCAATACATTCAATGTTTGGTTATTGTGGTAATAAGGGGTCTGGATATGTTCATGTTTCGTTACATTGGAAGCTTGGTTTCTTCGTCCTTCGATTAGACACACAACTCAACCTAAATAATCTCGTAGCTTCGTTTTAACGGGGTTCAGTCATCGTCTATAGGGTATTGGAAAGTCAGTTATAACCAACTAAATGATCTGAGTCTGTTTCATATATATTGCAATCCTTAAATAATGTTTATCTACAAAATTAAGGGCGCAGATATTTCGCCGTTACCACTTATCAATTTTTGATGAATAAGATTGTCTTTAATTTAAAACTTAATTAGATCTGTTACTTTCGTCAATGAGAGCTTATTTATAGAGTTTATTTATGAAGAGTTCTTGTACAATATGACACCATAGCTGCATGGGACAAGATAAAGCGATAAGATCTCGAAGAAGTAGTGGAGGTAAGGTCGTATAGCTAACAAATAAATAGTTCCAAGTGGTGAGAATAAAGAATAGTGATAAATATATCTAGATCAAAGAAATACAACCGGTAATTTTTTCAAATAACAGAATTCACTTTGTCTCCATGATGAGTCTAATGGAAACTGGAGCATTATTCCCACTGATTTCCACTCTGAGCCATATCTTATGACATCTGTAGCCACTTAGTTCTATGGTCACTAGAACTTAAAGCAACCAATCCGGATAAACAGACAAATCCCCGTCTCATACATTTTTTTCGTACTATGGCGCCATTCGAGAAACGGATCACCTTTCCACTTTCTCCACTTAGCGTTGACAAATAATACGCGATGTGATAGTTAATCAAACGACTTCTATAAAACATTTCAAAGTCACCAAAGCTATCATTTTATTTAACTTATTGATCAAGCGCAGGCTAATATTCAGTCCTTTCAGCCTAGAAGGGTTATCCTAAGACTCAAGAAAGCCACTTGAGCGACACTGTCTGTCATTAAGTGGCGTACCAAAGAAGTATATATGCTGGTCGAGTCAGAGCTCATGAGAACTGTAATGGAAATTGGTGGCTTCAAGTGACGTTAGTTGGAGTTCTCTATTTTCCCCATGTTAACTGTCATAGACATGCTTTTAACAGTAACACTCATCGTATGAGATTTCGGGAGTTGATAATCTACCAGGAGATTCTCTTATGGACTTAGAATACGCAGATGTAGTTACGTTTGGTAAAGACGCTAAAAAATCCAGGATCTTCTGAATATCTTAAACAACAGTAATAACATGTTTCAGATGCGATTCTCTCCATTTAAATGCAAAATGTTGCTTTAAGACGGGTCTTCATCAACCCCTGAACTAAGGATAGGGAGTCAAGTAGTTGAGTGCGTCGACCATTTTATTTATTTCAAAAGTCCGATCAGCCCTATTGGGTTGTTACTTGATGAAATTTCGACACAAATCCAAAACTGTTGCCGTTTACCAACTTGCATCACCTATAGAGTAGATGAGATATCCGTCCACTAACCGAAGAACAAGTTTGCTGCTCAGTAGTTCCCTGTGTTTTACCACATTTGTTTGAAACATGACCATTAAGAATAGAAAATATTCGTTTGTTACCAGTATTCGACCATAGGTTTCTTTGAAGCAATGCCCGGGTTAGTGATAGAATATTAGGTAGGAATGCAAATTTATTGATGAGGTAATCTTTTCCGGTTAAGATGGTCAGAACAGAATATGTATAGTCGTCCACCTACTACGTTAAGATGCGATAATTTCTAGTATAGGAGTAGACTGGAAAGAAGTTGGGAATGTTCAGACCAAAAAACGGTATCAGTCCATGAGTATGTTGACTTTTAAACTGGGTCATGTTAGCAGGTGCACACTACCTAGTTGTGGTCTACGTGATTATCGTAACCAGTGGTTAGAGGCTTTGGGTGACATGGCTCACGATCGTTCGCAGTAATCCAGGTGCCTTCCTTTGGATCATTAGCTGCTAAATCACCTTTTAAATTGTTTTTGTTCCACTAATCTATATTTTCTGGAATCGTATCTTCGATGCCTAATTTCTTTTATCACCACTAATACTGTTACTACGTCTACTACTCTGTTATTCCCCCCTGACAATTTTATTTCACTGTCCCAGTGGAGTATGGCAATTTGATCTGTTGCACATATGTTCTATATTGCATATGACGGACTAGCTATTAAATGTCATCTCGAAGCATGATGTCAACTACCTGTATATATTTATTTATGTGAATATAATTCTTACCATCGCAGCAGCTTTCGTATAATTGTTTCTTAGCTCTAAAATTGTCTGGGAAAGCCAAGTTATAAATATAAGCAAAACGGTACGAGTAGTTGCAATAAATTAGAATTCGTTGGTTCATTCAAGAAAATCCCATGCAGATTCGTCTAAAAACAAATCCTCGTCAGGTTTGATTTTAAATAAAAATACTTGTTTGTTGTTTTCCCTCTGTTTAGGTACGCTCATTAATAATATCAATTGAAATATTCATAAGGTCTGCTGAAACGAGATATTTTTGTTTACCATTTACATTTTATTTATTTCAAGATGGACTTTTAATGTTCTCAATTGTTTATTACTCTTTTTTTAGAACTAGCAAGAGATAAGATTGAAAACATGCATTTGTCAACAAAAGAATCTCATCATGTTTTGTCTGAGGAGAATAACCAGTTCACTCAAAAAGAATATAGTGATGACCATCCAATAAATTATGACCATCAGACAGTCGTCGTTGGTGGTATATTCAGTCCTGTGTCCAATCTGTATGAAAAGAAAGGTCTCCTACCTGCCTCTATACGCGTCGAGCTTACACGATTAGCCTGTATTTCTGCATCCGACTGGTTGGCCGTAAGCAATTGGGAGTGTTCACAATCAATTTGGTTGAGAACTCGAGTGGTCTTAGATCACATTTATAGTGTCTTGAATAATACGTACTCGAATTTAAGTAACAATGACGAAACCGAAATTGACTCAGTTCCGAGAAAAAAGACTTGCTTCGCACCAAGCAATTTTTATCGTGAGTTTCGTATGCTTAAAATGCGTTTATATATGTGTGAAACTTTTGGTGATTTCATGTAAACAGACCTGGAGTGCAACGTTTTATTGAAGATTTTTTATCAAGATCACTTTTTCCTATAATGTCCCGTTCCATAAACACTTTCTACCTACAAACTACTAGAGTTCATAAACATTTAATTGTACAACTTAACCTGACAGTTCCCGAGTCATTGATCTACAACTATTCCTATTTATCTTTAAGTCCCAATGTATATTGGATATTCTCAGTCATTAATTATTGTCCTCAAAACTTAAATATGTAATTCAGCGTATTGATAAGACTAGTTATTCAGCTAGTCTATGTGACCGAAGAAGTGTTAAGTAGGTTTTATCAGATGTCTCATCCTAGATTTTACAGCAACTTACTTACTTACTTACTTACTTACTTACTTACTTACTTACTTACTTACTTACTTACTTACTTACTTACTTACTTACTTACTTACTTACTTACTTACTTACTTACTTACTTACTTACTTACTTACTTACTTACTTACTTACTTACTTACTTACTTACTTACTTACTTACTTACTTACTTACTTACTTACTTACTTACTTACTTACTTACTTACTTACTTACTTACTTACTTACTTACTTACTTACTTACTTACTTACTTACTTACTTACTTACTTACTTACTTACTTACTTACTTACTTACTTACTTACTTACTTACTTACTTACTTACTTACTTACTTACTTACTTACATACTTACTTACTTACTTACTTACTTACTTACTTACTTACTTACTTACTTACTTACTTACTTACTTACTTACTTACTTACTTACTTACTTACTTACTTACTTACTTACTTACTTACTTACGCCTGTTACTCCCAATGGAGCATAGGCCGCTGACCAGCATTCTCCAACCCACTCTGTCCTGGGCCTTCTTTTCTAGTTCCATCCAATTCTTGTTCATTTTTCTCATGTCTATCTCCATTTCTCGGCGTAATGTGTTCTTTGGTCTTCCTCTTTTCCTTTGACCTTCAGGATTCCATGTGAGGGCTTGTCTTGTGACGCAGTTGGGTGCCTTCCTCAATGTGTGTCCTATCCACTTCCAGCGCTTCTTCCTGATTTCTTCCTCCGCCGAAATCTGGTTTGTTCTCTCCCACAGTACGTTGTTGCTAATAGTGTCCGGCCAATGGATCTGAAGTATTTTGCGTAGACAATTGTTAATAAACACCTGTATTTTCTGGATGATGGCTTTTGTAGTTCTCCAGGTTTCTGCCCCATACAGTAGAACTGTCTTGACATTTGTATTGAAAATCCTGACCTTGGTGTTGGTTGACAGTTGTTTTGAGTTCCAGATGTTCCTCAGTTGTAAATATGCTGCTCTTGCTTTGCCGATCCGCGCCTTCACATCTGCATCAGATCCACCCTGTTCATCAATGATGCTGCCCAAATACGTAAAGGTTTTTACATCTTCCAAATCTTCTCCGTCAATTGTGATTGGATTGGTGCATTCTGTGTTGTATCGGAGAATCCTGCTTTTCCCTTTGTGTATATTGAGACCTATTGCTGCTGAGGCTGCTGCCACACTGTTTGTCTTCTCCTGCATCTGTTGTTGCGTTTGGGATAGAAGGGCCAGATCGTCTGCGAAGTCTAGATCATCCAACTGCATCTTAGATGTCCATTGTATCCCGCGCTTTCCTTCAGACGTTGACGTCTTCATGATCCAGTCGATCACCAGGAGAAAGAGAAAGGGTGAGAGTAAGCAACCTTGCCTAACACCGGTCTTCACTTCGAACGACTTTGTCAACTGTCCTCCATGCACAATTTTGCAGTGTAATCCATCATATGAGTTCTGTATGATATTGACTATCTTCTGAGGCACGCCGTAGTGTCGAAGAAGTTTCCATAGTGTTGTTCTGTCCACGCTATCAAATGCCTTTTCGTAGTCAATGAAGTTGATGTAGAGTGATGAATTCCATTCAATTGATTGTTCCACAATGATCCGTAGAGTTGCGATTTGGTCTGTACACGATCTATCCTTACGGAATCCTGCCTGTTGGTCACGAAGTTGGGTGTCTACGCAGTCCTTCATCCTGTTTAACAATACCCTGTTGAAGACTTTTCCCGGTATTGAGAGAAGAGTGATGCCTCTGTAGTTATCACACTTGCTGAGATCGCCTTTCTTCGGTATTTTGATCAGAAGTCCTTCTTTCCAGTCTGTTGGTACTTGTTCCTCATCCCAAATCTTATTGAAGAGAATGTGGAGTATCCTTGCAGTTGCCACTACGTCTGCTTTCAGTGCCTCTGCTGGGATGTTGTCCGGTCCTGCTGCTTTGCCACTCTTGATTTGTCTGATGGCCATGCTGATTTCTTCAATTGTTGGTGGACCAACATTGATTTGGAGGTCCGTGGGTGCTGCTTCGATGTTGGGTGGGTTCAGTGGAGCTGGTCGATTCAAGAGTTCTTTGAAGTGTTCTACCCACCTGTTTTGTTGCTCTTCAATGTTGGTGATTACCTTGCCTTCCTTGCTTTTCACTGGTCGTTCTGGTTTGCGGCGATTTCCAGAGAGTTTCTTTGTCGTGTCATACAATTGTCTCATGTTTCCTTCTCTTGCAGCCTTTTCCGTCGTCGTTGCTAAATCTTCCACATATTTACGTTTGTTGGTTCTGATGCTCCTCTTCACTTGTTTGTTTATTTCCGTGTATTCAGCTTGTGCCTTGGCTTTTTCTGCTCTTGTTCGGCTGGTATTGATTGCTGCCTTCTTGTTCCTCCTTTCTTGAATCTTATCCAGTGTATCAACAGTGATCCATTCCTTGTGATGGTGCTTCTTGTGACCCAGGACCTCATGACATGTTGAAGTGATTGCCTCTTTGATCCCCTTCCAGTTGCTCTTCATAGTAGTTCCTTCTCCATTGAGTAGATCATGAAAGGCCTGGAACTTGTTGCTGAGGACTGTCTTGAATTTGTTGAGTTTGTTAGTATCCTGGAGAAAGGCCGTATTGAACTTTTGTGATACTGTCTGCCCCGTTGTCCAGTGCTTCTTGAGTTTCAATTTCATCTTGGCGACCAGTAAGGGATGATCTGATGCTATATCAGCTCCTCTCTTGGTTCTCACGTCCTCTATAGTCTTCCTGAATGTTTTGTTGATGCAAATATGGTCGATTTGGTTTTGTGTAGAGTGATCCGGTGAAGTCCATGTGGTTTTGTGTATGCGTTTATGTGGGAATATGGTGCCGCCTATGACCAGCTTATTGAAGGCACATAGATTTGCAAATCTCTCACCATTTTCGTTTCTTTCTCCCAGTCCGTGTCGTCCCATGATGTCTTCATATCCAGTGTTGTCCGTTCCAACCTTGGCGTTGAAATCTCCGATCGGAATGGTCAGGTCCTTTGTTGGGCACTTCTCGATGATTGACTGCAGCCTATTGTAGAATTGATCTTTAGCGTCTTCATTGTAGTCGTTGGTAGGCGCATAGCATTGGATGATGTCCATTAAAATGCCCTCTTTCTTTGTTTTGAAGGAGGCTTTGATGATCCTTGGTCCATGAGATTCCCACCCTATAAGCGCATTTTGCGCTTGTTTGGACAGCATCAATGCAACTCCTTGTGTATGTGGTGCATTTTCTTCTTCATGGCCGGAGTATAACAGGAGCTCTCCTGAAGTTAGTCGTTGTTGTCCAACTTGCGTCCAATGTGTTTCACTGATCCCAAGTACCTCTAGGTTGTATCTCCTCATTTCTGCAGCAATTTGGAAGGCTCTCCCGGTGTCCCACATTGTACGAGCATTACATGTACCTAAATAAATGGTCGCTCTGGTTGTCAGAAGGGGCATCGGCCTCGTAACTTCCGAAGGGATTCGGCTTTCATCATGAGGCGTCATAATTCTTCTGAATGAAGATCTTCTGACTCCCAGGGCAGAGTTTAAAAGGTTTGAATAATTTTTTCTGGTTAGCGTTTTTTTAGCGAGTTAGTTTTCTACGGGATGGGGACGCTAACCCCATGCCCAACCCTCCTCCTTTATCCGGGCTTGGGACCGGCAGTAGCCCCCGGAGGGACTCCAGGCAGAGTTTTTACAGCAACTAATAGTTATAAATTGAAATATTGAACTGTAACACTTTACTAAAAGTATAATTTTCTAGTTGTATCTACAAATCTACGTTTACTCATCATTTACATGCTTAATGCTTAAAATGGGTATTGTGCGTTATCATCTTACAGCTAGTTTGTGGGGATCATTTAATATGGTGCTGACTACAATCTCACTAGCAATATTTAGGACTATTTCGCTAGTTCAACTTAACTAGAGAGTATAGTTTTTCGAACAGACGTAAATTATTCACCAAGTTAAGATTTCCTTACTTGACTTTTAGGTTCATTGATTATTCTTGCTGGTGATAATATTCAGTTGCCCAAACCAAAGTAAATGGAGTCAGGTTGGAAACTGTTTTGTTGCTGATACAGTTTACTGATGAGTTCGTACAGACAGAAAATGTATACAGGGATTCCCACTGATTATCTCCAAATTTCTAATAGCCCATCCATCACTTTTGTATAATTCCTCATAAAATACAAATTCTTTTTGTCTACTAACGGCATTTTTTACTGCGAAAAAAAGTTTACCGAGGATGCTATATCCCTATATACCACGTACGTAGAAGAAACTCGGTATAAGTTCTCATTTCGACTTAGAGAGATTTTCGCTTAGTCAACGTTAATGGATTTACGTGGATTCCATTCACTAAATTTCATTGTATTTTGTCGTTTACTTCTCAGTTCACTCTGTAACTAATGATCATGGAACTAAATTAACTCGGATGTAAAATCAATCTTCTTTGGTTTCATCCAATAAATCTTCTTAATAAGATTCGTTTCTTATGGTAGCTAGTTGAAAGGCGCTAGAAGCGAGCATAACGGTTGCATACGCTATCACAGTTGTCGTTGGAGTTATCTATGCATATTCCGCCCCATAATAAATATCCTCTTAGAAGAAGAAAGCATCTACCGAAACCGATTTCCTAGTACTCAGTCGTAGTTTCGTAATTGATCTTTGTAACAACTTTTTAGTGTATAAAGCTTTATTTATCTTTTCCGTAGTACACTAACTACAAAGTGCCTTGTTTTCAATTATACACATACATCTTCATCTGTCAGGAGTAAATTCTTTTAGGTGTATCCACTTATTAATTTCTTTATTTTCTAGCCACTGATGGTTTAATTAATGAACACAACGAACAAACGAAACTTTCATCACTAGAGGGCATGGCGACTGACCTCTGGCTTAAGAGTTGCTTTCATCTTGACTCTCTTATTGATATTAGTAACATAAAATGTAGCGAAAACCAAGTACATGATACTAATGATGATCATTTCAACAGCAATCTCTTCGCTTCATTATCATCTGTAGATAGATCATGTTACTGTCGCAAAAACAATACCGCAAACGTTTTGCTATCAAAACCTTGTGTGAAATTAGTTTGTGGTGCTGATCTTCTGGAATCATTCAAAACTCCAAATTTGTGGTCAGCCGAAGATGTAAGTTTATGGTTATTAGAAATAAGCTAGTTTGATTCAATTAGTCACCCTGTGCCTATTGTATATACTAGCGATCTTCTCTGTAGAATCACCCTTAAATAAAATGTACATAATTTAAAACATTTGGTATTATAGCCCTTTTTCAGTTTTCCAGTTGCGGTATCATGTTTCACTCATTAAATCTAGAGGTATAACACTTTGCCCCCAACAACGTTCCATCGTACATTCTCCGGTCAACTACTTTATACTTTGATTCTTGTTGGGAAGTAATAACCGGTTAATTAAAAATTTTATTCAGTTTGCTAACTAATCACGATATTTATTTGTTTGTAGTTTATTGTTGTTTTTACAATTTACTTATATATGATCGGATCCATCCATTCTAAGAACGGACTGTAATTACTCGTATTGAATTCTATAAGCTAGATGCCCTAGACGGGAAACACAGCATTCATCGATCACAATGTAAAATATAACACTATGATAATTAGTATACATTACCTGATGCGTAAAATTGGTCTTATTTCATAGAACAACCATACATCTATTGATCAATTTAATTCAATAAAGTTTCTATTAGATTATTCTCTTTTTTCAGATTGAAACGATTGTTCGTGACTATGGTATAATTTGTATTAGTCGACCTTCATATGAGCCTTTAAAAATTATCAATGAGTCAAACATTTTGGGCAAATATAAGGTAATTTGTTTGGATTTGTTACACAGATTATTTGGAAACACTGATGAGAAATTACCATAAATGCTTGTATTTGAAATGTTTTTACCTGTTGTTATAGTAAGAATATACAGATGACTTAATAATGTAGATTTGAAATTAATAGAGAAAGAAGTTAGATCGATATTTGATTGGTTTGCTTACAAATTTCTAATTTGGTTACCGCCTACAATACCGTCAAGTTATGGGTAAAACGAGTACAAATAAACAGTAATTGTGAAGGTTTTCGTTCTTCTGTTTATTGGTAATCAGGATTGTATTTGGCCAACCTTTATTGTTAGGGAATGTGACCAATGAATAAGAGAATACGAACCCTTAAAAATTATATCATATCCGCTGAACATATCAGTGGCTATATGGATTTAGTATTTTTTCGTTTGATACTGGGTTCGAGGTTCAATATGAAAATCAAAACTGGGATACATATATCCGGCTGACAAGTCGGAATCCTTATCTTGGATTTCATTGTTGATCATATTCTGGAACTATGAAATTATTGTAACTGTGGTGCATGCATGTATGGTTTTCATATTTTAGGAAAGCACTGTGTAATTTTAGATAAAATAACAAATTGGTTTTCACCACCAAGTCTTTGTTTACTACATAACTACATTTGTCAGTTGGATATGTTTGGTAACTGATAACATTTATCGTCTGAAATATGTTAGACACCTTATGCCGATCTACATTGGACATCTTTTTTTAACCTGATGTACTTATAAAAAAACCGTCACAGTTACAATGCGAAATACTTGCCGATGCCAAATGCATGCTTCTCGAGAGCAATCATTTGCTAAACATAAAATATGTCATGCTTTATCGTCCGTTTAAATTAAATCCGATTATTTCAAGATCAGTACACTCAACTTTAACTCCGCCTGTAGCTCTTGTGGGGCTACTGCCGGTCCCAAGCCCGGGTAAAGGAGGAGGGTTGGACATGGGGTCGGCAACCCCATCCTGTAGAAGAAAAATGTTGCTAAAGTAACGCCAACCAGATTAAACAAAGTAAACCATCTAAACTGTGCCCTCCTAGGTGAAGGAGAAATTATGACGCCTCATGATGGAAGCTGAGATTCTTCGGAAGTCACGAGGTCGATACCCCTTCTAATGATCATAGCAACAATTAATGTAGGTACATCGAACGTCCGGACATTGTGAGAAACCTGAAGGACCAATCAAATAGTTATGGAAATACAAGTTGGCGGTTCTCGGAATTAGCGAAACCCGGAGGACCCAAGCTGGACAGCAAACGTTACCCGCGAAGGGAGAATGCTCTACACACTCAGTGAGTTGCTCTGATGCTGTTCAAAGAAGCACGTAATGCGCTTATAGGATGGGAAGCTCATTGGCCCAGGATCATTAAAGCATCCTTCACAACAAATGAATGCTATCCAACGTTATGCACCCACAAGTGATAGCATTGACGACGATAACGATCAGTTCTACAAGATGCTGCAATCAATCACAGTGAAGTGCCCAAGAAAGGATCTCTCCATCCGGATGGGAGACCTAAGCGCCAAAGCCGAAATGGACAACACCAATGTTGCATATGAGCTCCAGTATCTTGAGGGAACTAATTATTGGTCACCGGCTACCATGAGACCGCAACTCCTTACGATGCTCCACTGCCTTAGGGATCAGACCTTCAGGTCGAAGGCTCCGGGTGTGGTCCCCTGAGAAAACCACCTGCTTCGGTTCGGGCACCCGGGCAGTATCACAGCCCTAACACAAATCAAATGAGATTTGTGTGGTGCATAATTATCTGGTGCCCCCTTGTATCAATATCTATGTGTCCAAATAAATAAACCACCCAAAGTGATTTAAGCATGGTTTTACTGGTGATTGACTGGATTATGAAGGCCTCCTCATCTGAAGGGAAGCACGGAATACAATGAACATCTTGGATACAAGTAGACGATTTGAACTTCTTAGATGACCTGATACTTCTATCCCGTACACACAAGCAAATGCAGGTGAAGACAACTAGTGTAGCAGCAGTCTCTGCATCAACAGACCTCAACATACACAAAGTAAAGAAAAGATTCTGAAATTCGACACAGAGAACACCAACTCAATCACACTTGATGGAGAAGTTCTGGAAGATATGGAAACATTCACGTACCTAGTCAGCATCATTGGTAAACAAGGACGATCCAATGCAGATGTAAAGGCGAGGATTGGCAACGCAAGAACAACATTCCTACAGTTGACGAGCGTATGAAACTCAACGCAACTGTCAACCAACATCAAAGTCAAAATCTTCATTGCGAACATCAAGACAGTTCTACTGTACGGAGCTGAAACTAAGAGAACTACTACAGCCATCATCGAAAAGATACAAGTATTTATGCACAGCTGTCTGCGCAATATACTTCATGTTCGTTGGTCAAATACCATGAGCAACATCCTACTGTAGGAGCGAACAAACCAGACTCCATCTGAAGAGGAAATTAGGTAATGGCGTTGGAAGTGGACAGAACACGGTGAGGTAATAATCAAACTTCACGAGGCAAGCGCTAACTTGAGATCCTGAAGGGAAACGAAAAAATGGAAGGCCGAACAATACACTGCGTCGGGAATTGGAAGCAGACATGAAAAGGATAAATAGCAACTGGAAAGAACTGCCCAAGACAGAGTTTGATGGAGAATGCTGGTGAGCGGTCTGTGCTCCTCCATGAGGTGTAACAGGCGTAATTAGGTAAGTATATTCATATTTAAACCTTAGATTGTCATATATGTGTATTAATGAAAAGGCAAAATGTAATGCATCTAGCTAGTCATTTATTATTAGTGTAAGTGAACAGTAAGTACCAATATATAATTTACAAAATGCTCTTAAACTATCAATTACAGATACCCCACAAGGCATATTTCATAACGTAAACGATTTCCAATCATTTTTAGAACTTTAAAACAGTGAGAGTTTAGGGAGACTTCATGTTGATAAGTACGTTTATAATCAAGCATAGATTTATTAAGGTAGTTTACTCATGCACAGAAATCATTATTACTGATAGATGCAATATTTGTTTAGTTATTTTCCAATGTATATCTGATTTTTCCAATATTTCACTTAGGATAATATAAGTTTAGTGATAGACAATTGTCAGAATTCACTAAGCTCTACTTTCGTACGTCATGCTTTATCAAATGGTAAAAGTGTACGTTACCTCGTTCCAGATCGTACTTTGGAATATATTTATACACATAAATTATATGATGCCAAAAAAAGATGTGTTAATTTACTTGAATCGAAGACTAGAACAGAAGTACAACACTAATTACCAAAGATTTCATGGTGCATTTTTCAAACAGTTGAATCATTTGATTATTCTTGTTAACATAAAATTGTAAATACACCTTGATATACGTATATTACTCATGTTGATTGGATTAAATTTCTTGAAATTGTGCAATTACTTCATTTTATGATTCTATCCTGTAAAATGATTTACTTATCACGCTATCATTTGAAATAAACTTATACAATTAATTTGCTACTCATCTGCCTAATTCTATCATTTCAGTCGTCATAAATGTTGAAAATATGTGGTAAATGTATTTCATGCTAATTTCGCGAAACGTAGTTTAGAGCATCGTTTCATCAAGTGTTATGTGAAATGTAACAACAAAACAATTAAATTATCTACGCGATAGAAACAATGTGTAAAACATGACTAAGTTGCTACACTTTAGTAAAGAAAATATTTATTCAGAAAAAGATAACATTGTTAATGTAATATCTGCGTAATTCTCTTCGTTACTTAAAACGGTGAATGGAATAAGCTAGAATTCAAACAGACTTTTTGTTGGGATCTGAGCATTATATAATATCGGTAATATATGTTCTGTACATCATTTTAAAATGACTGCATTAACTTAACATCTCCAGTAAATCATTCTAAAAATATTCTCCCGGATTTTTATTGTATTGTAAATAAATATAAAATATCCCAATTCGTAAAAGAAATAGGAAAAATTAGACTGGATTTTTCTTGCGACGAAATCACCAGTGATATTGTCAGGGACAATGAGGCACATGAGTCTTGGGAAATCACTTTCAGCTTTGCTTCTCAAACTGGAAAAATTACTAGATACGTCGAACCACTCAATATCTAGTCATTTAAAGTTGTAACAATGTTATCATACACAACATTGGTGGTCTTTGTGTATTAAACACAAACTGTATACCTTGGTCTTTAATCAAAATGGCAGTAATAACGCAATATCTCTAGTCGACCAATGGATTTTTTAATAACACCATAAGTGCCTTTGTTAAACAAAGTGTCTATTATCTGTTTATTGCAACGAATTCCTGGGAGTTAGTGAATTGCAAGTTGAAATAAGTACACATGAAGTCTACCCATCCTTGATATGACGAATTCGCTCCCATACTTATGTAGACCACAGAAGATCAACAAGTAACGCTGAATCTAAGACGGTCTAAAACTAAATTACAATACTGAGTGACATTAAGTTCTTTGAAGTCAATGAGTTTGTCGATCAAAGGTGTTATAGAAGCACCGGTTGGAATGTTTAAGTAATAATTATTCGATCTCAAAGTTAAATCATGTTTTGTGTATCGCCGTCCACTGCAATACTAAGCGAATTAAAAATGGATGTTAAGGTTGATGAACCAAAGCATCTGAAGGAGTTTTTTTTCGAATAACAAGATGACATAAATAGCACAGGACTATGTATCTTTTATTTTATCTTGCACATTTCCTATTTGCGACAGATCTCTGGTGATGGGACAAATAGGTATTGCTTTTTAATGTAAATAAGATAAACTTAAACTCAGTATCAATTTAAATACTTAGTCACCAAGTTATGAATGGGTAATTGGCAAACTTTGGAAGATCATATTTCGTCGAGCTTATTCCGACAGCCGGGTACTAATGCATCAGGCATAGTCTGTGGGATGAAAACTTATTCACAGTATATATATATATATATATATATATATCAATCTACCTACCTATGATGAAACCACTCAAAAAACTTTCATGAGACTGCAATTTTATAGAGTTGCATTACCTTAAAGATATCAAGTTTTTCTCATTTAAACCGATCCTAAATAATGACGATTTGTATACCTGTTACTAATGTATCCTAGGTTAAAACCTTGCTCCATCTACTACAGTTTTGGCAGCCTAGTAGTATCACTAGCTTCCACACTTAGATTGTTATCTTACCCAAGTACCTGATGCTTTCCAACAAAATATATTGCTTACTACATACATTAGCCTCAAAACGAAACACTGCACGATCAGTCGGTTAATGATAAATGATTTAAATGGTGAAGCAGTTAAGGAATACAAACGTTTTTTACTCGAATAGGTGTAGCTTAAAACAACTAATAATGCAACGAAAGAGATCAAGCCGACGCTGATTTCTTGTTTGATAAAAAGGTATTTAAGATATGTAAAAAAACATTTTATCTAGAGCATGAGTGTACAATTATCGCCGAGCACGGTCAACTGATCGACTTCGACTACGTTCACGTGTTCTGTGTTTGGTTGACATTTTGACTGGATTTGGACCTTTCGTAAACGCCCAATCCACATGAATTCTTTGACCATTTAGCTCAGAACCATTTAGATGTTCCATAGCAGTAAAAGCTTCCTTGAAATTTTCATATTCTACTAATGCATATCCCTGCAATTTATTAGTAAATAAGATGGCTGAACGTACTTTTAAATAACCAGTTCGCCGGTCAAGGTTAAGGTGTATATTTTTTATATCGCCATATTCACAGAATTTATCTCGAATATCTTCTTCTGTAGCTTCTTCCTGTACATTCCTTACAAACAATATCCAACCTTCTACGGCTGGTATATTACATATATATTTATCGTAACAACTTACATCTTTGAGGTCCTGATTTTGACGATCCGTCATCCACTACTAGAGATTCATACCCTTCTTTTGTCGTTCCGACTGAGTCTACAGGGCTTAGAAGCATTAGAATTCATACCAGCTCCGAATCCTCTGCCTTTTCTTTTTTTGGCACTTTCCTTCAATTTCATTAAACCATCTGAAATAAACACATTGAGTCAGATAAATCTAGGCGTTTAAAACTGGATGATTGCAAATAATAATGCTACATATGCAACAAGAATATCTTAACTAGGAATTAAAAAATTGTTTATTTGGTATTGTTTCAAAGTGAACCCTAGTTTTTCAATGCTACGAGACGGTATTTTTCTGATACTATGGGCCTCGGAAACTAATTTAAGGTTATATGGAAGCTAAAGACTCGGACATGACTGTTCTCTTGAAAGTCTCAACAAACCTGTTGCGACTGATTAAAGAACTGTCACAAATAGATACATAAATGCGGTTTAATATTTACGAAGGTGTTCAGTAGAAGTCATATGTAAAAGAAAGATTGTGTATAAGGATATAGTAAAGGAAGAAAGATGAATAATGCCACGTTTTGGTTTGACCGCCCCTAACTTCCTTCCAACCATCCTTAACACTAGTCAGCATTGCGCGTCGTGGTAATCGGTGTTCAGGAATACGCAACACGTGGCCCAACCATTTCAGTCGATGAAGATTTACAACCTCGCCAACTGATTTACCACCACTCCCTAATACCTTGCGTCTAACCTCATGATTACTTACTCGATTATCTCAGCGGATGAAAGCAATATTTCTAAGGCATCTGTGATCAAATACTAGTAACTTACGGGTATCTTCTACTCTTAACGGCCACGTTTTGCAGCCGTAAATTAGAACAGAACGGACTGCCGCGCAGTATACTCGTCGCTTAATTGCTTTTAAGTCAAACAAAGCCATCATTGTCGGACGCCCATAAGCATGCCTGTGTTCTAAAATCTGACGAATGGCGAATATGTGGTCGACGCAGCCACGACCGGGTATAAACCAGCTTGGTTTTCTCGTGTTTGCAGTTCACGTGTCTTTGTTAAGCGTCTGATAGTTATTGAGGCTAGCATTTTAGATGCTATATTAGTTAAACTAATCGCTCTATAGTTATCACAGGGTGACTTTGACCTCTTCTTATATATTGGGACAATTAGTGATTGCGACCAGTCAGATTGGATTACGTCCAACTCTCAGAATTTAGCTAGAATACTGGTAAACCTAATCACTAAAACCGGACCACAATGCTTAAAAACTTCTGAAGCCAATCCATCTGGACCAGCTGCTCATCGTCGTTTCAGATTAGTTATAGCTTTCTGAACTTTAATTAGAGTCGGGGGGCCTACTTCAATGACCCATTCACGCTGTTTGGGAATGGTGGGTAGTTGTAGAGTAGCTGAAAGCCGGTTGAATTGCTCCCTAAAGTGTTCAGCCCATTATTTTTAACGTCTGGGTTGAAAGCACATTAGAGTGTTATCTTCTTCCAAGATCACCTCACTTACACTTGACTTTTTAACTCCTGTTTTTTTGTCAATCTGAAAAGCCAGAATCCTTAGCCATAGTGACACTTGATGAGGAAGTCAAATGAGAAAGTTTAGAGTTGAGGTAGGAGGAATAATAGGAATTGAAGAGGGAGATTGATTATGAACAGAGTGACCTTGAGTGCTGTTACAGGTGTGAGGGCAGTTATAACTTCCCGGTTGCCCACACCGGCAACTTTACCCGGGGTGTGGCCCCCTAAGAAAACCACCTGCTTCGGTTTGGGCAACCGGGCAGTATCACAGCCCTCACACATATCGAATGAGATGTGTGGCGCATATGTATTTGGTGCCTCCTTGTACCAATATCTGTGTTAAAATAAATAAATAAAACAAGCGTATCAGGTTCTACTTTGCGTTTGAATAACTGACACACGGATTTCTAAAACCACTCCCAACGTCCATTTGAGTTTTACATTAATGATAATTCATTTATTGAGGTTATTTTTGTGTACGGTGGTGCTTTCAATGACCATTCACGTAAATAAACTTTAACCAGAATGAGTTGATTAATTGGATACACTTCAACACTAACCATTATACGATAACTTGTAAAGAATATAAATCATGAGTGTCATCTGAACAAACTGTACTTAGTTAAATCACTACATAAAAATTTTATTACCGGAGGATAAAAATAAGAGTTGACTCTTTGTGAATATGTAAAAGTCAGCAACGAAATAAACTTGTACGTGCTTTCTAATGCGTTAGTTGGTTCAGTCAAAAAATACTCGATAAACGCCTAATATTAAACAACGATACTTCAAATTTAAAACATGGAACGTGTAGTCGAATTATTGAACCTCAAACGTATTCTTGTTCATAGTAGATTTGAGGTCCAAGAAAAATATTTCAATTCTTTTTATGAAATTCTCTTTAATTCACTTACGATTCTCTCTTAATATCATCAGTAAAACTTTGATCCGAAACTTAACATATTTAAACGAAACGTGAGAAGTATCGATGAGGATGCAACAAGGGGACAGTACACAACCCTACACATAAGGTTCACACAGCAAAACTTGATAAATAATATTCTAGGATTTGAGACAGACGAAAGTAAATATGACTATAAC